CTCCATTCTACTCCATCTTCCCTTGACTAAAGGGAAGGAGAAAAATCATGTTACAAATAAAACTCCTTGGGCCTCAACCACTGTTATGTTGCCTTAAACTGAGCTAGAGCATTAAGATTTTCCCACTAATGAACTGTACCAGGAGGAGTTCCTTTTTCTGTGTCTGTTTTTCTCAGGGCTCTACCTTTCATGTTAGTCATAAAATGGTGTAGGTTAGCTCTAAGATGTAATTATCCAGTTTCAAAAGGTCAGTACACCATACTCCATTTTGATCATTCACCTTTGCAATTATCCACTTCACTGACAGTACCTTGACCTCACTCAATACTTCCACCATTATTCTGGTCTTCCTTTTAGAAAAGCAAAATTCAGTATAAGTTTGCGGAGACATTTTCTGGAGAGAAAATATACATGTTTGAAGGGAAAATGAAACATCCTGAGTTTTTTTCAGTTGTTGCAAATTTTTTCTTAGCCTTTCAATTCCTTTATAAATGAGAGTCTGTAGTTCCACCCCAGAACATTTATATGACAATGTATATACTACATGGAAAGAAAAAAAAGAAATTCTTTTCACTGCAGATGTGAGGTAGGTATCACTGCTATTCAATCAGTTTGCACTTTCTGACTGAAGTTTCAGTAACAAATTTCAAAATGAAAAATAAATATTACTGTTCCTGTGAAATGTTTTTGTGTGGAAAGTGAAATGCGGTAGACATTAAGGAGGCAATAGATGAATTTAAAGTATTTTTTCCTTGTAATGAAGGGTAGAAAAAAAAATTTTAAATGCCAAGTTCCCTTTAAAACACCACAGGAACATGTCTATGTACATACATATATACATACATGTATGTATTTTATGTACACATATATAGCCACAAAAATTTCATTAGGTTAGTTCAAGAAAGCTAACACTTTTTGAATGTTTGCCTTGTGTTGCGTTTTCAGTAACATCTGGCTCAACTTCCTTACTGAGAAAATTTCCTCTAGCTGCTTTCCTCATTGTATTTGGTGTCACAACACTTGTTTTCTCTGGCTGCATAGTGGAAATGAAAGCAGGTATGCACAAGTTACTTGCACAATGGATGAGGTGATTTTCAGCCCTTTGTGTAGAATTGGGTAGATCAAAATCCCAGGGTGCATTCCAGGGTGCATTCAAGCTTAGTGAGGGGGAATATGTCCCTCACAGAGCAGCTCTAGTTATATAGTTATGAAACAGCCTGCAGAGCACATTGCAATAGGTACCCACTCTCTTTTTTTTCTCTCTTTTTTTTTTTTTTTTTTTTTTTTTTTTCCTTTTTTTTTTTCTTTTCTTTGGGGAAACATTACTTTCTCAAAAGGCAGAGAGGTCATAATTGGAAAATAAGGTTAGTGAGTTTTTTCAATCGAAAAACAAACAACATTCTAAATCTTATTTATAGAGGGAAAGAGATCCATTAAGCTTCTGGTTTGTTTTGTTTTGTTTTATTTTGCTTTGTTTTAATGAGATGAGTATGTTCTCCAAAATCTGAGTTAACACCTAGCATTGCCTTTACTTATTGCTTTTAATCTTTTCCAAAAGCTAAAGCACCAAGTTATAAAAAGGCCCTTCTCACGTCTCAAAGAGGCCTGAGCAGTCTTGAGAGCATTCTGAAAGACCATAACCCTGCAAGATTTCTTGCACAAAATTACATTAAAAAGATCATGAAATACTTACTTGCTTGTCCTAACTTAATTCTAGGCCAGATTTTTTTTCTTTGCTTTAGCCTCCCTTCTCATTTTGGAAGAATGACATGAATGATAGAGAAGCAACTTTGCAAAGTTCTTAAGTTTATGTGTTTTATATGAATGTACCTTAATCTCTTATGTAAAAATACAACTCTTGGAAAACTTTCAATTAAAAAAACAGTAGTGTGATTCTTGAATGTGACATTACTGCTGTGAATATCTCTATTTCATCTTTGAAGCAAGTTGAACAGCAACAGAATATAATAACATTGAAATTTCTAATTTACTAAAACAAAACAAAAAAGTTAATTAACCAAACTTTCTTTTTATATGGATTCAATGCACCACTAAAAGCTGTAATAATACTGCACATTCACAGGTTTTCTGAGGCCTTTGCAGTGAACATAGTGAACATGACTGCTGCTTTTATCATAAGCAACCACTAAGCTATTAATATGTTTGAGTTCCTAATTAAGTTAGGAGAGTGAAGGTAATTCATGGAACAGGTAGCTGAGCTTGCATAGGAGATATTTCTCACACTGGCTACATGCAGTATGATTACTGCTTAAAGTGTTAAGAGCTGCTTAAATTGTTTCAAAAATATGAGTAACAATTGATAAGTAAAATTGGGTTCATATATGTCATTAGAAAATTATTATAAGCAGCAAATATTTTTCCTTTGTCTGAATTTTTGTTCTGCAGCTATCAACATGTACCTTTACACATGTTTATTATTCTGCACGCCAAAAGTATCCTAGTTAAGGATTTAAATGACCTGATTAGATTATCTACTTATATAGAATACAAAAATTCCAAAAATGTAATGCAAAATAATATTCTTTAAGTCTCAACTAAAATAACTGAGTGCATCCTTTTTTACTTTAGGAAGATTAATTAGCAAAGATGTTACCTACAAATACCTGGTCAGTAATTTTCAGTTATTTTCATACTGAAAAAAAATATTCTCCGTCATGACCTTTTCAATACGAATATTTCAGTTTTCCACTAAGTGAGTTAAATATATATAAAATAAATATATATAATTTCAGACATAATTCATTTTATTTGATTCAAGATTAAAATATGTTGAAAAGTTCATATAGAAAGTTGACACTAGTCAGTTCAGGAGTATCTGTGTTCCTCATAAAAAAATAGGGTTATCAAAGCTGTTTTCTGCGATCTGTATTACATTCATTCAAACCTCTCCTGTCTGTTTTAAAGGCAAATATGTAGATATTTGCAACACAGCTCCATCAAGGATGGGGTCTGGAATACTCAGATTAAAAGCAGCCCTGAGGCAAAGAGTGACTTCTGGTCTGGGTGTTTTCCAGCTCTTTCCAACAGCTCACATCAGCCAGCTGGACTTGAGTGCTGCCAGCTGGACTCCTGAAGCTGGAAGGGCTCTGACAGGGGTTCTGGGGTGGGAGTGGGATTGGTGATTGCACAGGTGTGGGAGACAAATTCTGTCTACTCAAGAAAAGGTTGATCTTTTTAGCAAGGAGTGACAAAATTGCACGTGGTGACTTTGTGAAGCTGGCATTCTGAATTGAAATCTGAAAGTTGGGATCTGGCGCTTCACTTTTTTTTGCACGTTCTTTACCAAAGAGGAAAAAGAGAGCAAATATGTCCAGTGAGACCATTATATGAAAAGTGTTATTTGGAATAAGCGTAAGGTATAGTTTGGGACAACTCTAATGAACAACGAACAACCCTGATTACTAACTCTCTGAAAATCAGTATTTCAGAAAATATGAGTTCTAATACTTTCCTGGACAATGATTTATGATAAATCACTTATAAATTGCCTATTTATTATTTTGTACAAGTTAGTATTTTTTTTCTGACTTTATTATGGAGTTATTTAGGTATACGGTATATTAGATGTTTAAATTTATCATAATTGCAGCTTGTAGGTATCTTGAGTGCAATGAATAGAAATTTTACAGACACAGAGATAAGTAAATTTACCTTTGACATCAGAACTTGGTTTGGTAGTCATCTTGTGCTTAATTGCCTGACTGAAATTCAACCTTCGATGGCTTTGTGATTTCTCTCTACTTGAAGTCTGCCAAAACTGAATTGGTATTGATTAGTGTCATCACTGTGAAAGGTGATCTTTCAGGCTTAGAATTTGAGTCCTGTCTTTTGGCAGATGCTCTGCAAGAACAGAGGGCTTTCTTATGTTCCAGGTCTTTCATGGGTACTTGTAAGACATTATGCCTACGTATTCATTTAGAAAAAATATGACTTTTCCACTGTAGTCCAGTAGATGGTATATAAACAACTATAAAGCTGCACAATTTGGGGAGGGGGGGAATGTTTTGAGGCGGGGGTGATGGCGGAGAAGATTTAGTGCTGAATAGAGGTATGTGATCCCTTCATTTCCGGTTCTTGTACAGAAATTCGGTGGACAGAATTTAAAGACCTCATTAGGAATATGTGAGCATCTCACATTTTCTTGTGCATTGGAGTTAACATAATGTAGTCTATCACCAGAGGGTGGCCCATTACAAAAAAATCAAACCAAAAACAAAGGTGCAAAATTATTCTTCCTTTATTCTCTGTTTACTCTCAGTACAGATGTGTATCTTCGTTCTAAGAAATTTATCTTGTTAAATAACCTCTAAAGGCTGTGAGATAACATGAGTATAAAATGCATAGGCCTTTCATTCTGTTGTATTAGACCCAGATGGCTGTAAAAGATATTTTTTCCCTTAATACTATTAATTGTGACATCAAGAAAGAGAGTAGTGTGAAAACTTAAAAATCCTTCCTCACGTAATTAGGACAGTGGTTTCTAGTACTGAAGATATTCTTTAGAAATTCTTCAGTTTAATGAATATTAATTATAGTCCTAAGGTGTAAACAGACTATTATTTTAAAAGTGCTGATTTTTCATCTTCTGGGGAATAAAAATGAACTTTGACACTGTTAGACCAAAATCAATCTCAATGTTATTTAAAACAAATTCTTATATTATTATTTTTTTAATACCATTGTTCTATGATAGCAGGGAAAGAAATAAGGTTTGAGTACTGATTATTATATTAAACCATTACCTATGGTTTACTTTTGTAAAGGTACAGTTAATGAGAAATTGATTCTTTTGGGTTTTTTCTTTTAAAATTCAAGTACTTAACTTTATGAAACATGGAAAACATTTAGTTTGGACTAATTTCTAAAATGATGGGAGGTCATTAGCTTCACCCAGTAAAGAAGAGGTTTTTAAAATCATATTATTCCTCTTTATTTTTCTCTTTTTCGGTTGTTCTTCCTCCCACCCCAACCTTTCCCAGCAGGAAAGAGTGTGGTTTGCGGATATCTCTGAATGGGGAAAGAGAGAGAGACTTGAAGCAGAGAAACAAAGTTTGGAAGAAGAGAACAGAAGATTGGAGTCGCAGGTAAAAGAAATTCAGGAACTTCTGGAGATGAAAAATCAAGAAACACTAACTGAATCAAGCTGTGATCATCAAAATGCACAAAGTAAGCTTCTGGTTGAAAATAAGGTATGTGCATTTCTTAGTTTGATTACCTGGGGTGTGTTCCCCAAAACAATTATTATTTAATGGTGTCAAAATGTGTCCTTAAAACAAGGGTTGTGCAAGACAGACCAGCCCTGTCAGCATCTTAGACCTGGACAATTAGAAATCAGTGACTTTGAAGATCTGTAGTGTACAAAAACTGAAAGAAATATATTTTCATTTTTAAAATGAACAGGGGGAAATGACAAGTCTGACAAGACTAGGGAGCAAAAATGAAGACTGGGAGGAACAGAAGAGATTAAGTAAACTTTGGTAGCTACAGAGTCCTGATTGAGGTCAAAGCAAAAAAAGCTGTGATAAATCATTTCTCTATCTTGCTGAATATTAACTCCTTTCTTAGGGAAAAGAGATCTGAAGGAAGAGCTGTATTTCTTATTTTTAATTTTTCTACAGATCTATTAACTTTTAAACCTTATTGTACTGCTAAAAATGATGTGATAAATTATTCAGAGACTCTTAGCTATTGGTATTTCCTTTATTTTATGTTTTTCTGTGCTAATAATTAGTAATCCAGAAGGTTCCTACTTTCATTGAGACTGAAAGCTGTGTAAGAGAAAAAACAAAACAAAAAAAACCAAAAACGCCAACCAGTAAGTTAATATACCTACTTGATGTTATGATTTGGTCAGTGATAAACAGTAATGTTCTTATTTGCCTAAATAAGAAACAATTTAATGTCATTTATGTGCATTTACTGATGAATATTGGAAGTCTGAGTAACTAGGACCAAATATGGGTTATAGTTACAATAGGTAATTTACCTTGGGAAAGACTGAGAGAGGTTCTGTACTTGATGTCTGCTTTTAAATTGTATGATTCTTCTTTATTTCTGTGATGGCTCAGGAACAGCAAATTGCAATTCATATATCTTACCTTATACATAAAATATCTTACATAATAAACACCTATTTTAGATTTTCCTTTACTAGTATTTATTTTATCATATCATATATCACATTATATCATACCATGTCATATCAGCATTTTCATGACTTCTCTGTAATGCAAGTAATTTGAGGTTAGAAATGTGGCCAGAAAGATACTCCTCTGCTAAGGCATGTTACTATATTTAAAATCTTTCAGTTATATGGCTGTGATGGGTTTTTTGTTTTTTGTTTCAAATGCTACTTGCTTAGAATGTTTGACATCTGTGATCAACTTTGTTAGCATCAGCTCTGCCTGTTAGTATCACACCTCATACTGACACAACTTCACAACTTTTTATCCAAGTCAAAAGGCAGAAATGGAGTCCAGTCATCTCTGTTTCCTTATCATAAAAGTAAATGTCAGTGCAGTGTTTGCCTTCTCATAGCTGATGATTTTAGGCTAAGATTTTCTTCAAAACTATTGATTATCAGTTTAAAGGACAAAATTAAAAATTTTATTTTAGCATCAGCTGAAACTATGTGATCCATGGCAACAGCTATCATCCAAAGACTGGGGTGGGAACTGATTTGTTTGCAGCTGTTTCTATCTCATATTCACAAGAACTGCAAGACATGGTATTACAGAATAAGTCAGGCTGGTATAGACCTCAGGAGACCTTCAGTCCAACCACATGCTAAAAACAAGGTCAACTCTGAGGTCAAACCAGGTTGATCAAGGCTTTTTTCAATGGGGTCTCAAAAACATCCAGGACTGCACAACCTCTCTGGGCAGCATGTTTGTGGTGGGTTGACTCCAGCTGGCAGGTAAGCTCCCACCCAGTCCTCATTTACTCTTCAGCAGCAGGATTCGGGACAGAATTGGAAGGGTAAAATTGAGAAAAAACTTGTGTGTTAAGGTAAAGACAATTTAATAAGTGAAGGGGGGGAGGAAGGAAAAAAACCCAACAATTATGCAAAAGCAATTACACACTACCAGCAGACTGATGCCCAGCCAGTCTCCAAGCAACAGCTACTTTGGAAAAAACATCACCCCTCTGTTTTTGCAAGGGACTCTTCCTTCCCAGGTGTAGGACCTTGTCATTGTTTAATTTCCCAGCCTCAGGGAGAAACAGCATAACTTTGATGGAAGCATCTTCCCTCTAGAGCTGTGAATTGAGGAATCTGCTGTGCCAGGAGTAGTTTCTCCATTTTGCGCTTGGAACTATGCCCTATGGTGCATCACCAACAAGGCTTAGCAGTCTAGTAGTTTGCAGCAATGTTTCAAGCCAGGACTCTTTGCCAGTGCCTGCCATAGTATCCTAAACGTACTTGATCACTGTGTCCAGGGTTCCCAGACTCTGCAGGCAGAGCAAATGGTACCACCATAAACAATCTTCTGTGACACCAAATACCCATTGACAACATGAGTAAAATAAAAGGTCAACAGTATTAGAGGAAAGGACAACTCTGGTGAACCCTAAATGCTGCAATTAACTCTATCCACAGCAGGAAAAAATCTTTACGATAAAAAAGTCTTATAAGAAAAATTACTATAGCAATTAGTTCATCTCCAAATCAGCCATGGCATTTGAGACCTGGCCAGCCATATGTGGAGAAGGCAGCTGGTTTGTAGAGTTAATTACCAAATTTTTTAACCTTACTGCAGCCAGTAAATGAAAAAAAGGTGTTAAGGAAGGAGAGAGAGTGGCTTTTTCAAGGATTCCAGCCTAACTCAATTTATATCTTAGATGGAACCTGTCTACTCGTTTGTAGAGACATTCTAATGTCAGTGTTGAACCTTTCTGGTTCCTGAGACTGTTTCTGTCTAATTTACTCTAACACCTGACAAGAATGGCTTTGACTTCTGATTCAGGAGCCTTTTTTTCTGGCATGGTAGCTTGAATTCAGATAAAATAACATGTTATATGCAGAGTTAGAAGATTATAGAAGGATGATTTCTGTAAAATATCAGTAATGGTTACATGCTTAGGTTAGCAAACGGGATTATATGCAAGATTGAAACCACAGCTGTCTGAAGATCTTTGTGCATCTTAATCTGAATGACCGGACACAAGGGATATGGGTAATGTGCTATGGAACTAAATCCAGAGCAAAACACAGTTGCCCAACAAGCTAGCTTCTCCAAAACCTGTATTTGTGAGATGATTTGGGAGATCCACTGTAGTTTTTTAGAACAAGATACAGTGTTATTAATTGATGTATGGCTGATTCATACTTTTAAAGGGTATAAAAAACAGATGGCAATATTTTGCTTTTTAATAACAGTTTTAGTAAGATTAAACATTGTATCAAAATACAGACTTGAACTCCTAACGTCCTTGTCTAAATGATTTCATATTGACACTTAATTATCTTGTTCTTTAATATGTATACCTCCACAGAATATGGAATTTGTGCAATCTCTTGCCACTTATGATAGTAAATCATGCGGATTGAAGTTCTGAACATAAAAGTTATTAATTATACTTTGTACAAAATGTGAGTTCTTACTATTATTCTTAGCTTGCAGTATGTTGGTTTAAAATGTTTCCAGGTGCGATTTTTGAAAAGTTTACTTCTGTTGTATAAGATGAGCAGAATTGATGAAACAATTGAGATCAGACATTGTTACTATGTGGTTTTATCGATTGTACTTCTTGGAATGGAGAGTACCGTTTAAATTAATAGCTGTATTATTTGACAAATAGCATGGCAACAAATATTAAATGGATCTAACTGGTTCATCTAGGAAGGGATAAAAAGAAAAAAAACCAAACAACCCTTATTGATGGTATAGATCAATACCCATAACACGCTGTTTGTTAAAAGATATTTTCTATTTCGTCTGTGAATATGACCTAAAACAAACCTATAAAATAATTTTGGGAATAATAGTTGGGTTTTTGTATTATCTCTAATTTTTATGGTAAATATCTGATTATTAAACATTTGATTACTTGAATAAGTTTTGTAGTGGACGTGTGCAGAATCTAAGTAAAGAATGTTGAACTGTGAAACTTGTGGATGCACAAACTAATTATTTTTTTAAAATTCAATTTCCATATTTAATATGATACAGTTATAATGTTGTTAGAAAAAAAATATTCCATAGATTTTAAAGATGGAATGATGGACAACACACATTTTTTAAGATTAAACCAGTTTAGCTTAACAATACCTAGCAAGCTGGCTTTTAAATCATGAACATCGTAAGTTTGATTTTTGAAAAGTAGGAAGCACTATATTTTTTATGCAAATAACTTGAAAAATCTTTTGTATTGGGTTTACAAAGAAATATTTTGGTAGCAGGGTTGCTGCAGGAGTGGCTTCTGTGAGAAGAGATCAGGAGCTGCCTCATACCAGACACAAGCAGTTCCAATGGGCTCCAAAAGGAGCCCACTGCCAGCTAAAGCTGAGCACATCAATAGTGCTGGTGAAAACACATTTAAGATACAGCAAAAAAGGTGAGCAGCAGTGTGTGATAGGGAAGACTGAGGAAAAAATGTGAGAAAAAAACAAGCCTGCAGACACCAAGGCCAGAGAAGAAGGAGGTGTTAAGGTGCTCCAGGCACTGGAGCAGTGATTCCTCTGTAGCCCATGGAGGACCATGGTGGAGCAAATATCTGTGTTGCAACCCATGGATGACCCCATACCAGAGCAAATGGATATGCCCTGAAGGAAGGTGCAGACTGTGGTGAGCACATCAGGAGCAGGCTCCTAGCAGGAGTTGCAGCCCATGGAGGGGGATGTACACTGGAGCAGTCTGTTCCTGGAAGACTTGCCCCATGCTGGATGGATTCTTGAAGAGCTGTGGCATGTGGAAAGAATCCACACTGGAGTAGTTAATGGAGGAGTATCCCATGGGAGGGACCCCTAACTGGAGCAGGGGAACAGTGTGAGGAGAAGGGAGGAGCAGAGAGGAGTTGTTATGGAGTGACCCATAACCCACCATTCCCCATCTGTGCATAGAGGGAGGAGGTAGAGGAATGAAGAGTAAAGAAGTGAGGTTGAACTTGTGAAGAAGAATGAGAAGGAAGGAAGATGTTTTTATTTTCATCTTTGTTTCTCACCATTCTACTCTATTTTTAATTGGCAATA